AGTTTACTCGACTCTCGACAGTCTCAGTTCTGAACTTTTCTGGGTAGTATGGTCGATGAGAACAATCAAGATCATACGATTTTCAGTAGGTGAGTATAGATGGAGTATCTAAGAGGATCACGGAAAAAACCATGAAAGAAACAAATACTCAAACGATGGCGGATTTGATGAGTAGTTAAAATAAACTGAACTGAACTCTGGCAAGGAAAGGAAATCCGATCGAATAAGCCGCAAAATCAAAATTTGACTGGACTGACACGCAAGCAGAGAAGTAAATGCCTATCATCCAAACTCCAAAAGGTTCCAATGAACCATTCAAAAGCAATGCCATTGATCATGCGAATGGATATGTTGTTGCAATTGAAAGAAACCATTTGAATCGAATATTAGGAGATTCAACTTTAAACGATAAAATAGTTCAAAGGTATATTTTTTTGAATCAAAGAATACCAACCGATGATGTATTACGCTTCTGTGTTCGTTCTGAATGAGGCGGCGCTGACGAAAGAGACGAATTCGATCCGTGCCTGAAATCACAACGATTGCGCTTACGATCTCGTAGATATTCATAGCTGGCAGTAAGTATCAGCGAATAAACGAATAACATATAACAGTGAAATAAGTAAATAAATGAAATGAATAAATAACCCTGCATACTTTAAGATATCCTTTATAATTATGCGTCGCAATTGACAGCAATATTGCCTTGGAGTAGAACATTGTTATAAGGATATTATAATGTTGTATAAGGATATAATCAGAATATTATAAGGATACGTGAGCAGCAAATACCTTCTNCCTTAATCCGTGACACAGGTGAGCGCCTAACCGTTGGCGATAGGCTCTGTTCTCGTGCCACTACTGCATTCGTTCGACGTCGTTGACGTCCACTTTGACGTCTACTGCCAAGACGCGTTGTATTCGTCTCTATCTCATCGCCGGATGAGTCGAGCGACCTGTAATCAATATTTTCACAAATGGTACTCATCAGATTGATTATATAATACATTAACATCGACACATAAAACAGACGACTTAATTTCAATAAGGACAAAACCATTTCACTTCATTTGTATCTGACGAGTGGTTAACTGAGCATATGATACGAATCAGTGAGCATTTCTGGATTCTGGAGTTTTTGAAATATTTTATGCTCACAATCAGAATATTGCATTTTTTATCACTTTTCACAGATTTTCATTATTCATTGGGCTTTTTTATTATTCACAGGTTTATTTCAGTGCACACAACCGGGCCGGAAATATGAACCAAATGGAAGTACCATGAGCAAACGGGCTGACTGCAAACCTTTCAGAAATACTGATTTGTCTCGATCGCATGATGTCACGTGAAGCGATCGAATTGAAATCATCCTCTGTGCACGATTCATCGTCGCCATCTTCCATCATCGAATTCGAATGATGCGATTCTGGCGCAACGTATGCGATATGCTTCTTCCGCTGCAATCACCACAACCGCATTGAAATAAACTCGAAATCGAAATCAATCAAAAGTGATTAGATACGTCGAGACTGACTCACATGGAATCAGTCTGAAGACTGCATCCATATCCAGATAAAAAACAGAAATTACTTGTGAAAAATTACTAACTAATGGCAACGATACAATATCCGTATCCGGTTGACTAGCCACATCACTTTGGTATGTTTCTGCGTAAGTGGGTGATGGATTATGCAGGTTCTGTTGCAAGGCCGCGATCCAACTATCACGAATGCCTGGCGTCATCGCCGATAGAATATAGCGTGTTCGACGACACTACAAACGAAACTTGCCGTGTAAACCTTTCAACAACAATACTGACCACACTGATGATACAAAAAACAACTCTGACAGATCAATGAACTGATGTTGAAAAGTTAGAAATGTTCAGTGATCAAATGAGGTCTCAATTTCCACACGACAACAATCCATCTTCAAGAAACTAGAATCGCATTAGAAGAGACCTTGATTTCGATTCCATAGTTACGAGCCGATGCTGACGGATAGACATTTTCGCATTCGGTGAGATCAATTGATAATAATGCTTCAGTGGAATCTTCAGCCCAAACATCCCTGTGGAAATCAATGGAAAATCACATAATTTCTTTTTTTGGAAGAGTACATGCTCAAATTAAAAATATTTCCAGAATTTTCAACATTTCTATAATACATATATCGCAATGCGTTCTCATTCATGATCGCTGAATTTCAATTTGATATATTACCCAACCTCATCATAAAACAAATTTAATAAGACCGCATGATTTATGAATTATCAATTGTGATGCATGCACGACACATATTAGAAAGATAAGCTGAAAATGATGT